TAAGTAGCTCCTAAGTCGCTCGTAAGTAGCTGATAAGTAGTGTAAGTAGCTCGTAAGTAGCTCATAAGTAGTGTAAGTAGCTCATATGTAGCTAAGTTACTTAGGAGCTACTTATAAGTAGGGGCAGCCTACTTATAAGTAGCGTAAGTACTTATAAGTACTTTGGCCTACTTGTAAGTACTTACGGCCTACTTATATAAGTAGCGTAAGTAACTTACGAGCTACTTATGTAAGTGGCGTAAGTGCCACATAAGTGGCGTAAGTGCCACATAACTGCAGTTACGCAAACTAACGCCATGTATGGGCATGCATTTTCAATCAATATATATAACAGCGCGCGCGCTGAACAGGACGCCCAAAACACTTGTGACGCCAATGTCGTTAACCCTAAACCCTAAGAGAACCTTGGTGCCCGATCTGGAATATTGCGCGGGCGCCGTGGGAGGCATGCTGCGAAACCAATAGTTGTTTCATGCATTTGTGCTGCCGCTGGCCCAGACAAAGGTTTCAGGCACCCTTGCAAGCTTGCGTTCAGCGCAGCCCCCCGCCTTGCGTTTCGCGCATTGCAGTTGGGCCATGGCGGGTGAGACCATGCAGGCTCGCGTGGAGCGCGTCCAGGAGCAGATCTTCGACATCATCAAGGAGTACACGTTGAGCCATTGCCCCCCGATTCTCCAGTTGCGCGACCAGGCGGTGCGATGGTTGCGGAAGGAGGGTCTGCTGAGGCGCCAGAAAACGAATGGGCGCTACGTGGCCGTGCACCCGCGGAACAGGTACGGCGATGGCATAATTCCATCCCACGTGCGCACGCTGGTGCGCAGTTTTTGCAGCGACGGGTTCAGCATGGATGAGGTGGGCGTGCCCTTTGCCATCGAGATGCCACCCCCGTCTCACGAGCGCCACGCCGAGGCACTCGAGTTCAACGGAGACCTTGTCAAGGAATCCCACGGCTTCTTGCCGCCATACGACGAGGGCGAGATCAAAATCCTTAGCGTGAGCAAGTCGCACACGACCCAGGCGACCCGCTGCATTCAGTTTGGCAGCCCTACAGATTCAGATAACGTCGAGTTCGGTACCGACGGGAAGCTTGACATCCACAAGATCGGGTTGAAGCGCCCCGCGTTGGCAGATGCTTCGAAGGAGGGGTTTGAATGGGGCGTGCTTGTCTGGCAGGCTGAAGACGCATTCGGCGCCATTATAGACTTGCTCCAGGACCCGCTTAAGTTTGTGAAATCGATGGCCCACCCTTTAACTTTTCGATTGCCCCCGCCCCCGCCCCCCCCCCGCATTTATGTTGGCTTTAGCCGCGTTCAATCAGGAGTCTGGAAATGCTGCGCAGAAGGTTTCCATGAATGAGTCTAGGTGGGAGACCTTGTTCAAGATGCACGGGGACGTGCAGAAGATCGTCACCAACTTCGAAGCCAATAAAAAGGAGGGCGACATCTTGAACCCCGACGTCGCGGGGGGTAGGGCAATAACAAAAGCGCAATCCAGAAATCCAGATTTCGTTTCAGAGATCCAGAGTTTGGCGACGTTTGCGAGGAAGCTCGCTGGTGGACCAGACGCACCGAATTTGAAGGAGCTTCGGGCGTTCAACCGTTCGTGCCAGAAGCCGCGCATTGTGCAGGGCCCCGTCTTGGCGGCGGTGGCTGATGCAGTGATCGGCTCGGATGGTTTGGGCTGCATTCCCTTCCGCATTGATTGCGTAAAGGCAATGATGAGCGCCGACAGCAAGTATGCATCGGGCGACTTTCAGAACCTCTTTGCATCGGGTGACTTCGGGCTTAAGCTCACGAGTAACAAGGAAGTGCAGCGCATGGTCTCGCAGGCAGACATCATGAAATCGATGGCTATAGACATCGCAAAAACTGTCAACCTGTCAGAAGACAACGCGGCCGTGAAGACGTTGATCAACAGGTTCGGCATGAGGCTCGTGCACCATTGCATGAAGAAGCCCGACCCCAGGAGCCAAAAGTTCGAGTCGCTTCACCACATCGGCTACGAGTGCGTGCAAGACCTGGCTACCATTGCAGGCACGCAGATCACATCCCCGTGGGCGAAGAAAGGAGCCCCGCCCAAAGCTCCCGCGCAGCAAGCTGCGGCTTCTGCACAAGTGCAGAGCGTAGGCGGAATCGCCGACAGGATGCACAAATTGGCAAGTATGGGCGTGAGCGCCAATTGCCACATCGAGGTCATCAAAATGAAAACTGTATACAAGGTGCAGGAAGTCAAGGAGGATGAGATCAAGCTGCAGAGCATCGGCGATGGGAGCGACTACACAGTCGATTCGGCATACCTCCTGAAATCGCTACCCACCCCGCGTGCACAAGAGTTCAAGGTGATCACAAAACGCGAGCCGAAGAAGGACGCCGCGCTCTCCCCCTTCCACGCTTGCAAGCCGTAGGAGGGCGGCGTGTATACGATAGGGGGAGGGGGTGGGGGAGGGGGCAACGATTTTGGCAATGGAGCTTGGTTGTCTTACACACCCGCAGCCCACGTGCTCTTTTCCTTTTGTTCTCCATCCCGCACCTTTACCCCAACCCCACCGCCCATCCCAGCCCCGCCCAAACCCACCACCCCCGCAACCCCTCCCACCATCCCAACAGGAATACATCAACGATTGGAGTGCCAGGTGCGACCCGCGCTCGAACTCGGACTGGCAGCGCATGGGGTTGGTTGGTCACGTGACGTCGGCGCTTGATGCATTGGGTAACCTACAGGGGGCAGCGGGCGAGATGGTCGACATCGTGACGGAGCCCACGGAGCACCGCGGCGTGTACGCCAAGGTTGACATCGATGTCTCCAGCGCGATATTCCCGCCCTTCTCGACCAAAGTTGCCTTCTCGGATACAGCTCCAAACGGTGCCATCGACGTCGGCGCGGAGATCACTAATGCGGACGGCGTCGCGCAGAAGCTTTACATCTTCATGAAGCTGCAGAAGCATGATCCAGGCGGCATCGCGGTCAACACGCGCGGCAGCTACAAGATGGCGAAGATAGAAGGGTTCATGCCGCACTACTGGCTCATTGACAAAGAGGTGACCGACCCCAAGAAGTCTAACATGGCCATCAAGCTTCACACCGTTGACGCCTCGGTCGGCGCGGAGAAGATTACATTGAAAATACCGTTCCTGGAAAACACCAAACCCATCAAAAAGGGTGACCAGCTTCGTGCACTGAAGCCGCAGGCGGCGAAGGCGCCGCCGATGAAGAGGGTCCGCACGCAGTAGTCGTGGCTCGCGGAGCCGAGCTTATTAGACTCTTGTGCCGCGATCTCAGGTCGGTGGGGCGGCACGCCGATTAAGGAGACAATGGTATTATTATTGCGGATTTCCTTTAGCGCTTGCAGGACACACGGCGCCCTCTGGACACATGGCGTATTCTTCTCTTTCAGCGCTTGCAGGAGAAACAAAAACAGCTCGCATGCGCTCGCGCGGGGAGAGGGGGATGGGGGAGGGGGCAGCGGCAGCGCTGGTCCTAGCCTCGTCGCTGCGGCTGGGCGCGGGCTCGATTGCAGTGACAAGCCGTCAGTGATCAAGCGAGGTTGCGCTCGGCCGCCGCGGGGGGTTCGCGCGGCTGTTTTCACGCGCGCCGATGTCGTTCACGATCGAGGCGACGCCCGTGGTCCAATATCATGCCGCGGCCATGAAGCACGTCCGCACGTGGGTGCCCCAGTACACCAAGACGATCGATGGAGCTACGTACGTCGAGCTCAGGCAGACAGATAGACCTCTCGCTGTCTTACTCGGCCTATCCCACGAGGGCAAGGCCAAGTACTGGAGCAAGAGCTGCATCCTGGAGGATTTGCGCAAGGCGAGGAACACGCGCGTGGACGAGGTCTTACTTGCCCACTTGCATGCGTGCAACCCGTGCGAGAAGCCACCCGCTCTCCCAGATGGCTTCAACAGGATGGCGGTGAATCCCGACGACTTGCCCTATGTTACCAGCGTGGCTTTGACTTGCAACGAGGGCGCGACCTTCAATATGAAGATGGCCGTGGAGCTCATGCCATTGAGGGTGCCATGTGTTGAGCTGACCGTGGAGAATCTCACTTGGCTCCAGAAGGTGGCGACGGCGTCGGCCTTGCAGCCAACGCCTGTGAAGCCGCCCAAGCGCAAGCGCCCAGAGGATCGCATTGAATTGCCCACGCCAGAGGCGAAGTTCGATTATCGCAGGAAGTCTATATTCCTGCTGTGCAAGGATGCAGACGGGCGCAAGCACTTGCAGTACCAAAAACCAAAAACCATGGAACTCGCCGACATTGAGACAGCGATTGAGACCCTTACGGGCGATATTCTCAAACGTGGTTGGACGGTCTACAACGGCAACGCCGATGACGACGATGGCGGCGGCGATATCCCGCAGTTGGAGTCGCAGGAGTGAGCGTTGTGATGCGCGTGCGCACAGCAGTCTATCCTAGCATAGGCATTGGCGGATGCAGCAATGCAGTGT